GCGTGTGACGTTCGGGAAACATTTCAAAATTTCTGTCCACTTTTGAGGTAGAGGCACGACTTTCACGGCATCTACGGCGACGTCAATGACAGAAATGACTTTGACGGACTTATTGGTGACGCGGTCGATCAGGCGTTTGTTCCGCACGTCAACCAAAAGGCCAAAATGATGAAGGAAATCTGCACCGATTATCGGTCGAGCAACGTCAGCTGTTTCGAAAGTCCAGACGAATTCACGGGCGAAACCAAGGTTTAGGTGTAATTGTTTAGGTCCGTATGTCGATATTCGGGTGCCGTTCGCGGCGCTCAACACTATGTCCGATCTGACGCGTGGGCCGTTGCCCGGTGGAATTACGGAGATTTCGGCGCCCGAGTCGACGAGAAAACGTCTGCCGGAACGGATATCATTGACAAAGAGTCTGTAGGTGTTGTGAGCGGCGGGAGGCAGATTGGCTTCCGCCGCTTCCATCAGTTTTCCGACTTGTATGCACAGGGATCGCGGCAGTTCCGCGCGTCGGCTCCGTACATATTGTGATAGAAACACCAATCGTCGTTCTGTGTTCGGGACTTGGAGCGATTACGCGATTTTGATCGCGGTCTGTCCTGGTTGCGAGAGGGTCGGTTTTGAGTTGACTGTGCCGAAACTAGTGCGGCGATCTGCGCGGTCAGTGCCGTTATCGCGTTCTCCATGGATTGCATGCGGTCGGGTTCGCGCGCTACGGCGGACAAATCATGACCGGCGCTTGCATCCGCGACTCGGTCGGCTCGTTCGGCTAGAGACTCCAGCGAGCCGTCAAGACCGGAAATGACAGTGAGAATGGTGGGCGGGAGTTTTTGCAGCCAAAACTCTTTTAACTTCGATTCGTCGATTCCACTCGGCAACGCGCTACGTATGTCGCGTAACATTTGTGACGGGCGTCGGTCGCCCATACCTCCGTGTTGAATGATCGAACGAAACCGCGTGGCTTGTGGGACGTCGTAGGCGGCGATGAGTCGGCTCTTAACTGCGGAGTACTTAACGTCGACACCGAGTAGATCTTCGACTACATGAATTCCATCGTCGTCCAGCGAAGTGAGCACGTGGTTCACGCGCGACAGGTCAGATCTCACGCGGTGGCTGTGGAACAGCGCTTCCACGTGCGTGAACCACCGTTGGGGCGAGCGTCGCCAAAACCCGGGTAACCGTACGGAAGTGAGGGCGTCGATATCGAACAACGGTAATGTCTGAGGTCCGAGCGGGGTAGCGTGGTGTGCTGAGTCGCCGGCGCGCTCGTTCGAATTCGCACTCGCGGCGTTCGCGTTCGGGACGTTTTCGTTGTCGGAATTTACACCATTGGTTCCGAGCGACCAAATATCTCCCCAATTTTGCATGGCGTGTATGAGTTATGGACGTAGAAAATCTGACTAGAGAGTAGAGAGGTCACCAATTTGGTTTGATTGTCAGTAGGCGACTCGCTGTCAGCCTTCCGTGCAGGTTACCAAAATCATAAACAACAAAAGTTTACGGATATAAGTAAGGTTTTATTTATTAACAATCAAAACAAAGGTTAAAGCATATATTTAACAAAGAGAAGAAGAAAAAACGTGGTTTTTTTAACGACGTGCATAACAATATCGCGGGGTGTACAATCGGAGGGGAAAAAGTCGATGTGTGTTTGACGACGTCCGTCAGCGAAGAGAACGAGCTCATCGGCACTCGGTAGGCGATTAGGTGGAGGCTAGCGACGCTCGGCGCGCGCTACGGATATTGACCGCTAGAGAGGGGGCGCGCAGCTGACTACGGCCGGCGCGCTGATACCGCGGTAACGTTGTGGGTCGCCACATCATCATAGATTAAATATATTTTATCTATGTTATAAATTTACCATACAATCAATTAATGATACTATCGTCTATCATAGTATCATAGTTTACAGATTTACAATGTAGCTTTTTAATTTAAAAACAACAAATTGAATCCTCATTTTAATTGAACATTATATTATTGTAACTTTTTATTTCATATAAATATGTAATTAATAATAACAATATAAACTTAACATATTTAAATACAAAAAGTCCTTTCTACCAAAACAAAAACATAATATTATTAATAATAATAACAATATAAACTTAACATATTAAAATACAAAAGTCCTTTCTACCGAAACTAAAACATAATATTTATTGTTAATTATAATAAAATAAACATTGGCCCTACCTACTTGTTAATAATAATTAATATATATAATGGAATGAACATGTATCTACATGGCTACATATAACAGAATTTATTATTAAATATTAAATTTATTCAAAACTAAATTCATCATTATGATTTTTGTTGTACAAATTATTAGTGTTCATTAAGTCGATCATTTTTTGGGGAGGAATATAATTAACACAATTGTTATTTTTAATTTTCATCTCTTGAGATGCAAACAAGCATCCCTGAATTGTGTCTGTATTTAATTTATTTCTAGTTTTTACTTTTATTAAATTCACCTTACTAAAAACACGCTCACAATCGGCATTAGAATGAGGAAGTACAAATACATCAAGAGCAAAATTTGAAAGGTTTATGAATGGAAATTCTTTATTGCCTAGTTGTAATTTAGATAAGTTATACCAAAAAATATCTGGTTGATCTAAATAATTCAATAAATCAGTTGGAATATTAAAATGGGGCAACCGTCTCCATTCATCGTCAATACATTGCATTAAATCGTCATTTAATTTAGTCAACCTAGGCAATAAATTTAAGAGAAAAAATATTGAACTATTTTCTTTTCTGGTTTCAATGGACAATGCAATTTTAGGGTCCATCAACTTAATAGCTGGCATCAGTGGATCATTAAAATTGTATTTTTTTTTTAGTTGCATGCAAGCAATTTTAAGAAATGATTGTACTCTTGAATAGAAATCATCTAACATTTTTTTATTATTAGCAATTTTAGGCTTTTGAACTTCTTTCATTATTTTAATGCCAAGGTAAATCTGAGTAAATGGTAAGTAATGTTGAGAATTTTCTGGATTTATTTCATTAATAAGGGTTTTATTGACATAATTTGGATCCATAAAACATATTAAAAGTTCTTTGAAAGTGCCAACTATTTTTTCATGTAATTGTGTGATAACTACACTTGAACTTTGAAAAAAAGAATTGAGCGATGTAAATTTTGGTAACACAAAATCTAAAAACATATTAATTAATTTAATTAAGGGATCATTCAATGAATTATAAACATTTTCTATAGTTATAAGCCTTTCACTTAAAAGTTTATCCCTAAAATATAACATTAGTGGGTCCCATTGTTCTAGTAGCCTAGAAACTACCATGTGCAATGAGAGCCATCTAGTCTGACTAGGGTGTAACAACTTATGAATTGGTGTTGAACAAAATTCCTGAAACTCAACAAATTGTGCACTACGTTTGGAACTCATAGAAAAGAAAGAGTATACCTGGCGTGCTAAATCTTCGCATCGTTTTGGAAGGATTTTACATGCCTCACTGGCGCAGAGGTGCAAAGAATGACAGATACATGTCCAAATACTTATACCGCGATAATTTTGTATCATTCTACTTGCAACGGAATTATTAGCACCCATCATGGAATTGCATCCATCAGAACCAAATAGTATTATATTATCTGATGGAATGTTACAATCATTAAATGCTTTTATCAAACAGTTATACAGATTTTTTCCTGTAGCGCCTTCGTACGCTACCTCGTGGTTGTTAGGGTCAAAAATATTTGCCAGATCAAAAAAATGACTAACAATTTTACCATTGTCTCTATTAAAATAACGTACAACAATACAGGCTTGCTTGACACAACTTATGTCTGTGGATTCATCTGTTAATATGCTGAATTTTGTATTGATTAAACACCCAACTAAATATTCTTTATGTGTCCTACCGATTACAATTTTCATAATAGATGTAGATTTTGTTCTTTTCAATTGTATGTTTTTAAGAACTTCAGATTCTGGATCTAGATTTTTTATTAACTCTGATAAATGGTCCATAGCTAGAAATGGAATGTTGTGTTCTGCTATAAAAGCCACAAGTTTGATTTCAGCAGATTTTACTTTTTGTGTTAATGGAGTAAATTTCGGAGAAAAAGATTCCATTACAGACGGAGTCTTGGAAACACTATTAGAACTTAAATTATGTTTCTTACTATGTAAGTGACGATTTAATGAAGCCATTTCTGTTCCAATAGTTACATTACATGTAATGCATTTGGCGCTTGTTTTAGAATTTTTATCTGGTCGTAGCCAATTTGCAAACTTTGGATTTTGTAGCCACTTTTCACTGAAAATTTGTTTCCTGTGTTTTCCTTGTTTGCTTACATCCAGCTTAATTCTTTTGGAGCTCTTCTGACCATCTGAATCATTGTCAGAATAAATATCATCTAACTGTAATAATTAAAAAGAATAAATCAATTTAATTAGTAAGAAATAAGCTTAAAAAACAATTTAATAGTTTAATAAAAAATATATAGGTATACTTCCAAAATGTGTAGTATACAATTATATTTTCTGTAATTATGTACTAACATATGCATATATTGGCATAATGCAATTATAATTAACTGCATATATAGAATTGAATCAATATCTTAAATAAAAATAAAATCAATATAATATAATACTCAAACTTTGTTCTACAATGCTGTTGATATAAAATGCTTCATCATAATCCTTGTTTGAAGAAGAAATTGTACATTCAGATGTCTAAGATTTTAAATTAATAATATTGTTATTTTCTATGTAATAGAGTAAATAATATTTAATATAGGTATAATAAATTCTTACAGGTGATTTTTCTGGTACAGGTACACTTTTTGAACAGCAAGGATGTTCCTCACTCTGTTTAGAAACGTTCACAGAAGACAAATTGTTTTTAATCAAATATTTATCCATTTTAGTATAATATACTAAATATATAATAATATACTAATTGTATTATAGTAAGTTATTACAATTATACAAATAACTGCAGAATAAGAAGTAGCTATTAGTTAAACAAATAATATTGACAAAAATACAACGCTTCTAGATGCTGCCTGCTACAGAAATGACAACTGACAATAAAATATAACATAATATAATTTATAGGCAGTACATATCTTGGTAGGCCGTAATTGTCCGGAAATTAATTGTTCGGAATTATAATAATCCGGAAAATAAAACGCCCGGAACGTAATATCTCGGAATGTAAAATCTCGGAACGTAAATTTCCGGACCGTAATATTACGGAAAGTAAAAGTACGGAATAGTAAAAATCCGGAAAGTTAAAAGTTCGGACTGTAATACTCCGGAATATAAAAACCACAGACTGTAAAAGCCCGGACTGCAAAATTCCGGAATCTAATATAACGAACTGTAAAACTACGGAATGTAATGTCTTGGAACATAAAACTCCGGACTGCAAATATCCGGAAACCAATGATTCCCAACATTTGAGACATGCACTAAAATTATAATTAATAAAAAAATTATTTTTACTATTTAAATTAATTAATATTTAAGGGCCAGTATTACAACAGTCGCTTTCACTTCGATTACGCTTAACCACATTCAGGGCCGTCCTGACGATTTGCGGGGCCCAGGGCAGAGAAAATTGCGGGGCCTAAAATGTCATTATCGTTGGTGGGCAGTTATGGCATATTATGATATATGCCTAGGTATACATGGGCAACGCGCAAATAGACTTAAAAATATAGTACCTTATACAGTTATACCTACAATAATATGAATAAGTAAATAAATTAATAACACATCAACATGTCATATATATTTATATGACATGGTCATTATAGCCATGAAAAAAAAACTTATGAATTTCTAACTGAAAAATAATTTACAAAATTTTAAAAAAGTCAATAAAAAGCTCAAAAATAGTTAAAATAGTTTGAAAATTTTACCGTGCATGGTAAATATTTGGTGAACTTTTCAAGAGTCTATGCTATGGCTAATCTTTCTTGTAAATATTAAAAAACGATTAATGGGAATTCGATAATTTTAAATTTACAGCTGAATATCAAAAATCATAAAAATTAATTTTCCATTTAAGTAAACTTTTTTTTGTAGAAAGATTTATGTGAAATCTTCTGTTAAAATGTTTAATCTTAGCTATGAAGGAAAAACTTTTTTAACTTAAAAAAATTTTAAAAAAAAATGTCTTATGTCTATAAAAAAAAATAGTCAAAATTGTTTGAAAATATTACTATGTATGGAAAATGGCCATTTTAACATTTGGAGAAAATGTCAAGAGTCATTACAACAAAATATCAAAAATTGATACATAAAAATTCGTAATTTAACAATGAAAATCATGTACCTATCGTAAAAATGTTAAATTTATATATTATACGCTGATAAAAATGTCCGGTAAACGTTTTTATTTTGTTTAAAGTAGGAACATTTGTAGGACATTTTCTATCAAAAATGCTAGCTATGAAAGAAAAAACTCTTGTAGAATTCAAAAAAATTGAACTTTAAATGACCGAAAAATAATTGATCCCATGTATTTTTAATATATTTGAATTTCCATTAATGCAATTTTTAAGGAACCTAGCATTTTAGTTGGTGAGCAATTTTTTTTCCTATAGATATTATAGCAAAGTTGGTTACTTTTTTGGGACAAAGCACGCACTTCAGAGATAGTTATTTTTATAATTGTCAGTTTTGAAAATTGAATTTTAATCATTAACTCGTTTAAAATTCGATACATTCATTTGACGTCAATAAAATATAATATAGGCAGGTCGTAGGTACCTGGTATAAACTTGACTTTTTTTATAGTATCTATAAAAAAGCGGGGCCTGTCCAACTGTGGCAAAGGCGCGGAGCCCAGGGCGAGGGCCCCACTCGCCCTGCCCTAAGGACGGCCCTGACCACATTGTATATAATTTTGTTTTCATTTTGGATTGTAACAGGAACGCTAGTTTTAAATATAAATGTGAGAATATAGTAACTGACGATTAACGAATATCTTTATAAAAATAAAAATAAAATCAATTTACATTTGAATTATTAGTTATTTTTTAGAATTTATATTCTGTACATTTAATATTTATAAGTATAGGTATATACGCGTATTTGCATTTAAACAGTGTATGATTTTGTTTAATTTTATTATTATGTTATGATTATAATAATTTTATTCAATTAACGGATTGTTTAATTCATATTAAGTACAGTTATTAAGTGGGTATAGTTAGTTATTTTTATATAAGGCCTACAGTTTACTTTTCATTCTAATCAGTTGGTAGTTGGTACTGCTTTTTTATGATGTTATAATTAATTATAATTTCAATTTTTTTTAACGATAGCATTTAGCTAGAAATGTATATAGAATAATTTGTACTTATGAATTTGTAATTATCTGAAAACCACCACCTACAGGCAATTTATGTTATAAATTACAAATTCGTTCCACAACGTTGCGACATAGCTCCATTTCTATTTAATATTTTTACCAGTGACCTACCACAAAACAAATATAACACCCTTGGTAGGTACATTTGGCGACGATACAGTCATTCTAGCATCTCTTATAATTCAAAATCATCTAACCATGCTTGAAGCTATCAAAGTTATTGAAGTTATCCATTTGGTTCCACAAATGGAAAATTCAAGTTAACATGTCTAAGTATGATGTACAATATGATGTTACTTTTTATACAATATTAAATTATATTCAACAAAAACTAAACACACAATCTACACAGCTCTCCTGACACCAGTATGGCTCTACGCTCTATATGGTATTCAACTATGGGGCTCAGCTAAACCATCCAATACTAAGGCAATACAAGCATTCCAATCCTTATGCCAACAGTTAATCTCGGGAGCTCCTTAGTATATTGGTATATTGGTATATTGGTATATTACCAACGACTCTCTGCATAAAGAACTTTATTTTCCAACATTAAACAAACTTGCTTCTGTCACCTACAACAAAACCCACAAAACATCAGCGTCCTCACCAATCCACTAATCAATAGCCTCAAATTCCTAACACACCTAGACGCCTGAAAAGAAACTGGTGTAGGTATCTACTTTTTACTAACAATTAAAATCGCACCTGGGGTGCAGTGCCGTCAATGGGTGTCTTTCCCTATTCTGTCCAACTTATTCTTGTATGTATATATTTTATCTCATTTGTTTATTGTGTTAATAATGTTGAATACTTAATACACTTATAAGTTATTACAAAAATAAGGGAAATAAATATTAAAATGTATAGCTTTTATTCAAAGAATTTTAGAAGCCAATAATTGTAATACAATACAGGCAAACACTTATAAGTTATAGCCACTATAATGTACCATGATACATAAATATAAAATACAAAAAGAAGTTCATAGCTATAGGTAAATAATTTAAGTCTCAATTCTATTTTATGTATATTTTAAATCAACAGAAAAATAGTGAATATACAAATTTATGTTAAAAAAAACAAAGTTTCTGAAAGTTAATAAAATCTTTGTGATAGTAAATATACATTTTTATTTACTTTAATAATTCTCTACATTAAAATTAATAAAACAATTCATTTGATTTTTGCTTTCATATAAATAAATTGTGTACATCATACCTAAAAGTATGATGGTATCAATGAACCTAAAAAAAAATGTCGAATGTAAAAATTATGTAGTCGCATCATTACAAGTGAAACAACATAGTACAGCTCTACATAATAGTAGTGTTCGAAATGGGGAAATAAACTCACTGAATTGTATGAATATAATTGGATTACAATTTACAATCGAAATTAGGTTTGTAAAAATGTTTAATTAATTGAAATGAATATCATCTGTGAAATTGAAATTACTATGTTCACTTACTTCAACAAGTATTTTAAAATGGTAAAGTAAGTACAAGATAAAGAATTGCTAAACATTTACAAATTAATTAGATACCAGAATTTTTTTTTTTTATATTTAAACTAATCATTTTTTGCTATAGTATAGGGATACATTCAATGAATTTGTAATTTTTTTTTATTACTATTTACAATAGAAATTTAATTGCAGTCTGTACAGTAGCGTAGCTGGAGCTCAATCAAGGGAGGGGCTATTTAAAAATTGTAATACACCACAAAATATTGTGAGGAATTCAAAATTTTCCATTCATTATTTTTAACCGTATATTAATGTATTTTTTAACTAATTATTGCTTAACATTTATTTGATGTTATAAAAAAAAATGTATGATATACATATTATACTTAAATCCTAAAGTCATGTAATACTCGTACCCCGGCTAATGCAGCTGAGTCCTTGATTTGGTTATAATAAAACAAAATTAAGAAATACATATAGGTACCTTTATATATATGGCTATATTATTATATAAATTGTACAATAAATCAGACAAAAAAAATATTTACAACAATTTTCAAAGTAATATAGATCTATTTTTTACTTTTGAAAATTGATCTATGATTGTTTCTACATCCACTTCAATATCTCTATGGATATTTAATAAAGCCAAGCCAGTTAGTCGTTTCTCACCCATCTTTGCTCTTAACCAAGTTTTTAATCTAAAACAAAGCATCATGCAACAGCATAAAAGCAGAGGTAAAAGCAAAATCAAATGTAAGCAATTTATTTATTTATAACATATTATATAAATAAATATGCATAATTATTAATTATAAGTAGTGAATATTTTATGAATAATAAGTAATAAGAATAACTAACTACTAAATAAATGTTTAATAACCATCTTAGTAAATAATATAGTCTTAACTGAAGAATATTGAAGCAGTAGTTTATAGTCTGAATTAAAGTCTATTAATAATAAACATTAGGGAAATTTAACAAAAAAAAATAGCTTAAACATTTTACCTGCGCAAAGTGGAAAAGCTGCGTTCGGCAGTTGCTACACTAATTGGCAAAGAAGCAAGAATGTGAAGCAAAGAACTAATATTAGGGTAAATCATATCAGAACACTCATCAATTACTTCTAAGATATTTGATGGTAGACCATTACCTAAAATAATATAAAAATAAAAAATAAAAGATAAATAGAATAATTTCTTAAAATGAATCACCTTTGTAATGGATCCATTTGGTATACCACAATTCAATTTCTGACTCAAACAGCACATCTGTGGTATCCTTAAAAAATGAATATTTATTTTTTATTTCATTAAGTATTTCTTTCCTTTCGTTTTTTGTCAATTTTACTAAATGCTTAGGAACTAATTTGGTAATAGCTTTAAGTGTCTGGTTTTCATGATTCCCAAATCTTCTACACATGTCACTTATAATACCGTCTAATAATGGAATGAAAATAGTAATTTTGTAAAACTCTTCACAACTATTTACATTGGGTGGATTTGATCTATTGTTCTGTTTACCAGCAATCCTTGGTATTTTTATATCAACATCTAGTTCTTCCATCAGGTCTTTGCATTCATTAAAAATAGTTTGAAAGTTAGTATCACAATCGGAACGGTTGTTCTTGAGAATTGAAATTATATTTTCAATGACTTCAGAAGAAGTTAATATATCTTGGTATTTTCCTTGTAGTGTCTTACTTGCGTGATACGTTACAGCTAATACAGATGATAATGAGTAGAGAGAAATTATAAATTCACAGTTCGAAATTGAAAATAAAAGGGTTTTGGCTTTAGACGATGATACTATATCATCCCATTTTGATATAGATGTAAGGGCATTAATAATCTCAGGTAATGACATTTTAAAATGCAACACACTATCATGCCTTTCTACCCACCTGGTCTGACAAATACTTACAAATTGTTTTTTGAGCATTTTTTTTAATATGAAATTGCGTTTTGCTGATGCGTTAAAAAAGGATATAACTTGTTCCATGATACCAATACAGTTACGAATTGATTGAACTGTTGATGACTTTGAAATTGATAGATTCAGAGCATGATTATTGCAAGGACAATGAATTGCATTTTTTGTTGACTGCTGGATACGCTGAACAGCCCCAACTATAGTAGAAACCATCACTGCACAGCCATCAGTAGCAATACCTACACAATTATCAAATTTTAAGCCAAGTTTGGACATCATTTGTATAACTATATCACCAAGAAATTCTCCAGTCAATTTTGGTTCTATCTGGTTGTTTGAATCTACTCCATCGCTGTCTTCATTTTCATTGTCCATAGATGAATGACAATCAATAAATGTAACAAATCTTTCAAACACTTTTCCTGAATAAATATATCGGATACTTAAACTCATTTGAGAGATTGTTGATACATCAGTTGTTTCATCGAATATAATACTGTAGTACTTAGCCTGTTCAATATCTTTAATGATTTTACATACAATTTCTTTTCTGATACACTCTATTAATTCATTTTGAATAGTAGGACTTATAAAAGTTGCTTTCGCATTATTATTTTTTAAATGACTTTCAAGAGTTTTGTCACCTGATAAAATTCTAAACTTTAAAATTTCTCTGAAGTTGCCTTCATTAATAACAGTTTCTGATGAATGAGGTTCAGAAGAAAGTATACCATAATCTTTGTGTCCTCTTAAAGCAATATTTTGGCGTCCTAAGAAAATGATACTTTCAATTATTGGTACTAAGCGCTCTCTATTTTCTTTAATTTGTTTCATACGTTCAGTATCAATTATGTTAATTACAACTTTATTTGGGTTTGAAAAAGTTTTTTGAAAATCAAAAGAAAATTGAACACAATTTTTATGATAGTCGTTATTTTGATGTGTTTCTAATAGCCCATTTTTTCCTAATAATTTGGCAAACTGGTTTAGCGGCTCAGTAATAAGTCGTTTTAATTTTTCTGTACCTCTTCGACCGCCATACTCAGATGTTAGGAAAAGTATACAGTACTTACAAAATAGTCCATTTTTTGATCTTGAATATTCTAGCCATGTAAATTGTTCAAAGTGATTTTTCCTTAAATAACGCTTAAGTTGTTTACTGTTTTTGTTATGAATGGAAAATGGGTAAATGAAATGTTCATCTGGTACATTTGAACGTTTTAACAAGGCAGCTTTAGTATGGTCATCTATTTTTAATCCAAACAAATTTCCAATATCTAATTCTTCTGAAACTTAAAAAGGCGCAGTTATCAAAATAATAATATAATAAAATTCAAATATGAAATAGGTAGGTACCTACTAAAATATAAAAATAAAAATTATAAGTAGAATGGAAAAAAGTATTTGAAAATCTTTAAGAGACTACTTACCATTAATGGAATGTTGATTATCATCAATTTGTTTTTGTTCATCATTTTCTAATGTTTTATTTTTTTTTAGTAGGACATGTAACTAAAATATTTTCTTCAGATTTATTAGTTTTAAAATAATCATTTATTCTCTTCATAATGATTAATGAAACAATCAGTTTATAATAAAATAATCTTAATTGATAATTAATTAATAAACAAAACAGTAAGTTGCAAAAGCGAAAAGCCACAGACAATTCGGGTGCAAAAACACTTAACACTTCAGAATTCAGTACTTCACGTCTTTTTGGTTATCATTTTAGAGAAGTGCCTGATGCCCGTTGGAGGTAACCGCAATCATAATGCGGCTGCCTCCACAAAAATTTTGATAATATAACAAACGTAGATTGTATTCCGTGGTATAGTGTGATATCAGTGTATTACTACAACCGTGGTATATTAATTTAGACAAGAATTGGCCCGTATAGAATATCGTATATGATCTAAGAATTGGCCGATATCATTATCAACACATTTTGGTAACGTTGATAAAAATTTAAAATACGAAATGAATATTAAATATCACTTGTGTAAATTCTATATTATTTTATTACCTATATACAGGATATAACCGTGATTAAAATATCACCAATAAAAATGCCAAGGGGGGGGCCATACACCCATGGCCCCCCCCTCAAATACGCCACTGAGTCTGTATTTATTTAAAGGTATATGCAGTCGTACATTATTTAATATTAATTATTCATTGTAAACAGTAGAAAATAGAACACTGTATCTTAATTCTTAATAGTAAGTATTTTAAATTAATAGTTACAATAGGTAATTCACTTATTAACAATGTAATTTAACCATGTTTTATTTAAATAATAGTAATAGTAATTCTGCTGGAAACTGAAGTAATAATACAAAACACATATATTGTATCATGTATTATGTTACACAACCAAAGCTTCTTAGGCTCAAATTTTTAACATAAAGAGGATTGGTATTTTTTGTAAAACATACTTATAAGATGAGCAGTATGATTTGAATTTTGAAATTAATATTTTTAAATGTATATAATATGACATAATATAATGAATAATCAAATTTAAATTATAAAAGTTGTTAGTTTAAAAACATTCTTTGAAAAGCATTAACATCTACACGGCACATAGGACATCTTACAGGAAATTGGTTCTCCAAAACCCCAACACATGTGGTACACACCCATGCATGTCCACATGGCAAAATAATGTACTGAGCCACGTTTTCTCCAGTTGTAACTATATTACATGTCATACAGACACTTGGACTCGGTTGATTTGGTTCATGTTCATCATTTTGTTCCATTTCAATATTTACAGGAGGAATTTCATTCAGGTCATTTTCTGCCACTTCGCCATCATCTGACTCTTGACCATTTAGTATACCCAATTCCTTTGTCTACGCTCATAAGTTGCACTACTGTGAGAGCATTTTGTTAAAAATTGCCAAACACTCAATATACCAGCTTCATGGTGTTCAGTTGCCTGTTTGATGCGTTTTGAATTTAACATAAATTTTGTTTTTAAATTTCTTGTGGGTTGCAGACCATTATCTAGTTGTGTAACCATTATGTGGTATTTTGAACTCAGTGAACATATTTGACCTAGTAATATTACAATCAACGTTATTATTATTATTATTATTATTATTATTATTATTATTATTAATATTGATAGAATAAATACTTACTTCTGATAATAATTAAATTATTACTAGGTAGTATTATTATTATTGTTTCTTAGTTTTACTATTTGGTCAATATATATGTAAATTAAAGAAAAACAATACTTATAAGAAAAATGAATTAAAAGGAAAATTGACTAATCAATCAGAGTGGGACAGAAATAATATTGTAGAATTGAATAACTAGTTAACTAAGATGTAAGTACTTTTAATTATTTTGTATCATTAATAATAATAACATTAGAATTTTTTTAGAGTTTATGTTCCAAATCACATGTTACATGTGATGTGTTTTTAAATATTTAATCTAACCATAAAAAATATTTATAAAATATAAACTCAGTTGATTAAATCATAGTTAAATTGAATAGAAAGAAATTAATAATTAAATAAGTTACATAAAATGTATTATATTTACCAAGAAAAACCCATAAATTTGGATGTATAACCGAAAATTGGTACCTTAAAGTATTATGGAAACTTTCAAGGTTATTATTCGTCCTTCTTGGGACGCCATTTACTGACAATATATTTACGCCAACACGTCTTATCCAATAACTGTTAATAAAATTAAAATATAAGAAAAGTCAATTAATTATTTTTTTTTAATTTTAATCAGTTTTAATTATATTTAATTTGTCTAGAATTAAATTACCCTTGGTAATAGGCAAAAAGGTTTAGCATTGGAACATTATGGTGAGCAGCATATGCTTTGATGAGCAAAAACCCTTGCTCTATTTCTGTTCCTGGTAATAAAGGTAAACACATAAGCATCCTCAAAGCCTTTAATGCATACTGATTTGCATTAACAGTTGCTAAATAGTTTAAAGACTTCATTTTCTTCCATACAGCCTAATTGATAATTTAAACAAAAATAAGCTGGTAAATATTAAAAAAAAAAAATCATGATAAATATTTATTTTTACAATGTTAAATAGGTTAAATTGGTTTAAACTTATCAACTTCATAATTTTTTATATAAAACAGAGGTGCACCAAAGATGAAAATAGGACTGATATCCCTAGGTAAGCTTAGTGTAAGCATTAAAAAATGTGTAACTTAATTTATCTATTGAGCTTAAGATAATAAAATTCAATTCCACCATTATAATTAAAAGTTAATCATTTAAATTGGGCTTTGGAAGTGATCCAACAAAAATTTGTTATTTAGTAATATATATTGTTAAAATTGCTTGTTGGGGAATTAATAAATTATTATTATTATTAAAAAATATATATATATATTTACAAGTTATGTAGTTATTAACTATGATATATTATTTTAATTAGGTGTTATTAAAATTAAATGATCAACCTGGTTGTGATGAAACCAACATCCCATAACTCTAGTTCCTCTTACAGGAGTAAATAGTTAATTAGTGTTCGTTGCAGTTGGGTACTTAAAGTATTATAGATAAAAATAATTTACATTTAATAATTTCTGTATTTTAAATTAATGATATCGATAAGTAATACGTCACACACGTGTTCCCCCCTATCGACCCAAAAATATACAATACAAACCTACAATACAAATCCTACTACAGCTAATGACCTTCACAGTCGACGCTCGTTATTTTATGAGCATAAGTATAATATAATAAAAAAAAAAAAAAAAAAAAAAAGTAATACGTATACAAATTATATTTTACAATCAGACTTTATTCTACATCCATGTCCTCATCATCATTATTGACCTTCTCATTATCACCACCATCGTAATCATCATCGTCACTGTCATCATCATCACCAGCACAAAATGAAGGCAATCTGAGCATACCTAATACAACTTCATTAAATTTTGTTTGGTTCTTTTTAGGTTTTTTTCGAGTGTTCGTTACGACAGGGTCCGAGGATACCAGCATCCAGTTAAATATGTCAGTATTTGTATTAATTCTAGATGTTTTTCTCGAGTGATATTGTCTTAATGTTTTGTATTCTTTATGGGCACTTTCAATTACATCTTCTGACAGTTGCCCTACTGGCAACGGTAGAGATTTTATAATGTCAGCTCCGTGAAGTAATAGTTTGTGAACAGTGGCACTCATTTTATACCAACCATAAAGTGAAATAGCCATTTGTGCTGTTTCAAAGCAATAATTTTTAAACATTTCTTCTTTGATATAGTGCCCACAAGAAATAACGCAAAGTATATTTGAAAATCTTTCTATTAATTTTTTATCAATTCCAGTTATTTGAGAAACAAGTGAAGGATTTTTAAAAAATTTTCGGGCCGTGTTACCATCATTACTATTACCTCCACCTTGTTTTGGCTGATCAACAACGAGACCCATTTTTTTGTAAAAATTAGTCGCTATGTAATTTTTTCTTTCCTGTACTTTTTTTTTTTGCATATTCCCCTCTTGCTTGCCACTGTTGTAGTTCTAATTTATATGCTATATGAAGTAAATATTCATAACATCTAAGATGTGCATGTAGTATAGAAATACCATATTTAAAGGTCTCTTTATTACAGACTCTGTTCTTTAATTTTTCTAGATCGTTTAAATCTTTAGGAGTAGCATTACAAACATTACATGCTTGGGAACTTGAAGTCTCGGTTAAAATGTTGACAGTCTTTCCATCCAGCATTGTACAAATAGGAAAATGTTTAAATTTTATTTCTTTAGCGCCTAGGATAATTATTGTAGGCTCTAATAGTGATATTTGTGATTGTACTTCGTTATACGCTTCTTTCACATTTAGAACATTTTCTTTTTTAATTTTGAATCCAATTTGTCGACAATACCTTGTCGATGACGGTGCTCTATTTTTCCAAAATATTTTATTGTTGTTTGAATTTGATTCGCACATTTGTAGTGGAACAATTGTACATAAAATTATGTTTGAATCCGCATATTCTGAGTTATTTTACAAAATTTTGTTTATAAATACTATGTCCACCGCTGCCATCTATTCCCCATTTATAATATACTTCAATAGTATCACAGTCATCCGAAATGCTCTGGAGAATTACATTGGCCTGCACTTGTACCAGACGTTGTGTAGTATGTATAAATATATCTTTCAGTGGTACCACAGCTTCGTTTTCAGATATCTTAATATTTATAGGATAACATTTACTCTTTGCTTCTTGTATCACATGATATGAGGGATAAATGTCAGCACCTCTTTCTTTTGCTCCTAGTCGCATAGTAATATAATCTTCTTTTGTTAATCCAAGATCAACAATAAGACCTAAGGCTTCTTCAGGGCTGTATGGTCTTATAGTAATAGAAGATGATATATCATGAACCAATTTCATTTTTTTAAGTCTAGTGGGTGTAGTATCGATGGCTAATTTTAAAACTTGGGCTGCAGTTCTCCTCCCTGATTTAACCAAACTTGATTCAGCAGCTAAACACACTTGTTCTGAACTATG